CACACACACACACACACACACACACACACACACACACACACACACACACACACACACACACACACACACACACACGACACACACAATCTAGTTGTCACTGCGGTCGAAAAATCGAAGCTAGAACATCAACAAAACCACAAACAAAGAAAACCATTTGTCTAATACGGCGAGCAACAAAGACGGAGGACCTTTTTTCACTGGTATCCAAATACGAGTACGAAGTCTTCGGAAGTACGCTCCCACGGGAGCCGAAGCCAGGGTAACGCGACCGTACAAAACAGCAGAGGAGCAAGAAGCCTTCCACGGACCAACTTCAAGCGGCAAATCAACGATCAAACTGCGCATCAACAACGGCTGTCCTGGGGGAAGCGGTCATCCATATGCATGAGCTGCTCGCAGCCAGAAGGGAATGCCCAGTCAACCACACAAGAGAGCCGCCGACCACAACCCCGCGGCATGACCGCCAAGCAGCCAGCGGTGAAGGGTCGCACTGGACGAGGAATTACACCGCGTCATTTCCGTTGCTTCCAGAATTCAGAACAAAGTCGTCTCTCCCCATCACTCGCCGCCGCACATGTCTGCCAGAAATCAGAAGCGGACACCCATCGACGACAGCAACCAGTATTATCGCTCCCAAAATCCAGGGCGAAGTCGTCTCTCCAGCACTCGGTCAGAGGTCAACCACCAGCTAAAGACGGTCTTTGATTTTCAAAGGTTCCGTATCTAACGACTGGAGGGGAAGCTGCCCTCCTGATCAAGTTTTGCATAGATGGTTTGTTGTTGCAATCCAATCTCACCTGTGGGTCCATGCTACATTAACACCCTGCCCTACAGGACCTACGAGAAATACCAGAGTTACCCCGGTGGAGGTCAGCCATAGCCGAGACCCCGTCAGCGTTCGTTGAACCGTCGCTCAAGGAAAATATATATATATATATATTATAACATTAGTAATATATTACTAAATTATATGAATTTATATCATACCCCTTTATGCACCTTTAAGCCCCTTCGAGCCCTTTTGAGCCCCGCATATACCCCATAGACACCCTTTGGTGAGAGATCTTTAACTCAAAGATAAGGCTGGAATTGAGCACGTCTCAGTGGGTGCAAACTTGCCCCACTGCCAAAAAAAATAAATAAATAAAAAATGAACCCCTTTCTGGTGTCGGCCTGGAACCCCAGGCGGGTCATTCCCTATGGAAGTTCGCCGGGGTCGCCCTGCCGGGCGACTCTGGTGACATAGCAGATTTACTAGATTACAGAACAATTCAATAAAACCTTTTTTTTTTTTTTTTTTTTTTTTTTTTTTTAATAGGAAAAAACGCCCCCTGAACAATTCAATAAAACATAATGATGAGAAGCCTCCAAACATTCCCCAATTGGAGGCCTCCTCTTTTGACGGTCCCAATCTCTTGGTGGAGAGCTGCATTGCGGGAGACGGTTGTCAAACTCCTGTTTCCAGGGGGTTGCATGTGGTGGAGACTGGGCCCAGTGGAGTGTCCCGTAAGTACCTTGTTTTTCCCAAGTGTCCCATCCCTTCAGTACTACTCGCGCAAGTAGGAACACCACCACCACCCCCTATGCGACTTCGGCCATGACTTTTCCAAAAAAAAAAAAAAAAAAAAAAATGCGGAAAAGAGTTGGGTCAGACCTCTTCGGCCCTTTGTAGAAGGATATTGGACCTATGGTCTTTTCTTTTTTTTTTATCGTTTCTTTTTAAAAGCAAAACAGGGGTAATCCTCCTCGGCAAAAAGAGGCTCGGATGTACTTGGGGTTTAAACTGCCAGCACATGGCCGCAGGCGACTTCGAAAACAAATGGCTTACTCCAAAAACTTCGAATGCGCCGGGCTAGCGCCGGGCTACTGGACCTCAATGGCTGGTGGTGCCAGCTAGTTTAAAAAAAAAAAAAAAAAGTGTGTTGCTGGCGGTTTGGCAAAGCTTGGCGCACAATGCACATCGCCCAGGTGCGGATGTGCTGATGGGTTAAACCACCAATAGACCGGGGTCTGGCGGCCCCGCACTGTGCGCGAAGCTTTTTTGCGAACCGCCAGCGGCACACTTTTTTTGTTTCTTGGCTGGTGCCCCCAGCCATTGTGGTCTGGTAGCCCCTAGCCTCCAAACTTTTTGTAGGTGATGAACAATTTCACCACGAGGCTGGGGCCCTGTAGTGGGGGTTTAAATGCTCTGGTTTGCACGGAAGGGATCGTCTCGTGTTTTGTTTTTTGAAACAGATTTTCAAGGTACTACCAGGAGTGGTTTGACAGAAATTCCTCCTCTGAAAAAGAACAAAACCAGCTTTGAGTGTCCTTTAGGACATCCATTAAGATTGTGATGATACAGAGAATAAAGATTAGCATGGCCCCTACGCAAGGATGACACGCATAAAAAAACAACAGGAGAAAAGGATGGGAGGGTTTATCAAAAAATAAAAAAGCAGCTTTTGAGTATAATAGGCGAATCCCTGAGAATGTACTGAAATGCTTCCTTGACAACGAATAGCCTCTTCAGCTAGGCTACCAGCCGGGCCTCCCGGGTCACCCTATTTTCCCGGACGGCCCGGCTGTGCAAAGACCAGGGAAAGTCTTAGCAAAATAATACTAATAATAATAATAAATCTGAAACAAAACTATGTAATGCAGAAAAATAAACTGAACAACTTTTGCGTTGGGGTCACATCGAAATTCTTAAAATAAAAAATCAAGTCAAAAAATAGTTTTTATTTTTTTGTGGTCCGGACAGGCAAATGGCCCCGGGCCACTCTGGTAGCCTAGCTCTTCAGCTTAAACCATATGTATACCCGGGCCTGCAGGCCGCTTACTGCGCGCCAAGCTTCTGTTTTTTTTTTAAACTGTGAGCCAAGCTTTTCCAAACTACCAACGGCAGAACTTTTTTATTTTCTGGTTCGCGCCGACAGCCATCATGGTCTGATAGGCCAAACTTTCGAAATTTTTGTAGGTTACGAGTTTCTTTTTCAGCAAGGTTGGGGCCATGTACTGGCGGTTTAACTCTGCAGAGTGCTGCTAAATTTTTAAAATCATTGCTAGCTATTCAATCTATTAAAACCAAGCAAGGAGTGGGTTGGCGGCATAAAAGGGTCTGTTAGGAAACGTCCCCACAGCACCCATAAGAAAGGAGGCATCACCACTTCTTCGATCATGTAACTGTAAAATGGACCCCTTTCATGATTGCATAATCCCCTTGATTAATTGCAATTGTTGTACTGTGTGGGCACTCCGAGCCATTCGTTAGAAAAATTTTAAATTCTTTCTTCTTTTCTTTTTCATTCTGCCCCTTTTCATGAACTATTGTCACATTTGAGGTCGCATGTCGTCGTTGACCACAATGGCCATCATAGTTGTTACCTTCTTTCCCCGAACACAACGAACCCTGATAATGAGAATAGAGGTAGTATACTGCCATTTTTTCCCCGCTTGTGTTTCTTTTTCTCTATTCTTTCCAGTCTGGTGTAGCGAAAACGAGGGTGCATTGCGTTTGAGGGAAAATGGTAGTGGTATTCTGCTATTTTTTCTCTAGCGACTATTGTAAGCAGGCTTCGAGGGGCAAATGAAACCTGGATATTGTGTGAACGATCAATCAAAAACCTGTTTGCTCTTCATGAGACACTGGTGTGGCCCTGGCAAAATACTATATGCTGGATGTAAGGAACGGCGGGCGCACTGCCAAAAATTATAAATAAATAAAATTGTATATTATATTGAATATGATGTAGCTTAATACAGTTGCATGCAAAATGCTAAATATAGGATCAAATTATATTGAAAAAAGAATGAATGAATTTTTTAAGAATATAAATTTGATTCGTTAGTGTCATCAAATTAATTGCATGTTTAACATAAGATGAATTGCTGAAATTTTGTACAGAGAATAGAGGTAGTATACTAGTATATATTGTCATATATCCGCTACATTAACTTTTTATAAATTCAACGACGTTTTCACACTGCGTGCATTTGTGTGATCTTGATTGTTTTTTTGCCTTCTTAAACCTTCTCTTTCTTTCCTCCTGTTTTTTTTTTTTTTCCCCCTATTGATGAATGGAGTGTCAACTTGCTATCCCAAATTATGAGAAATAAACTCATCTTTGTCGCATTCAGGGTTGCCAGGCCGAACGTACGGAGGCCCCTAAGCTGACCCCCGAA